CAATACCAAACTACTTAAGGGTTTCCAGTACCTGCCACATGTTTTGCTTCTAGGCCATTATGTGCTTCTCTGTGTCTCAAAGGCTCTCACTGACTGCTAGAAAGTATTCCCTAGTGCTCAACTCAGGTGTCATTCCTGAGAAGCCTTTAAGGACTCACCCCCACCTTTGATTAAGTTCCCCACTCCCCAGAACTTCCACACACCGCTGGGTCTCTCTTTGGGGAGATTCATATGCTACTATGTGTTGTTCATTTATATGTATGTCTGCTCTCCTAGGCCAGAGGCTTTGCAGGAATCCATTGGCCAAGGAGATGCCATTTGGTAGACTTGGGCTATATCAGATATTGGAAGATGCTTTCTGTCAGGACCAGGTTAAGAACTGAGTCATTTGTTCATCCATGTAGTCAGCCGGCATTTATCGAGACCTTGCCATAGTCATTTAGCAATGTGGCCCAAATGAATAGAGGCATATTTAAAGTTTCCTGTTCGTTTGACCTTGGAAGAGTGTCGTCATCTTTCCAGTGTGCTTTCATAATGGCTGTGTTGTCCCAAATGTCTTAGTAGAACTTTCAGGAAGTTTATGTATTTGCACATTGTTTAGGAAAGATGTGTTAAAGGAGTTAATTCCTATGCAGACATGTACTTTGTTGCTGTGTTGGACTGCTTCTTACCTTGTCTGTTAATGGTGAGACAGAGAATGCTAAGCACTCTACATGGATGATCTCCTTCAGCCTTCACAGTGTTCTATCAGCTAGGCACTATTTGTTCTCATTTTTAGGAGGTTCTACAATATATACACGATCACACACATATAAACTAAGACATTTAAACTCAGAACTTCAGAGTTAGATGTGGCCTCAGAGCTGTTCGAGTACACACGAAAGACATTAGGACTTCAGTAAGTATTGGTTAGCTCAATAAATACTGCTCTCGAAGGAAATATAAAGATGGGAATTCTTAGTGTTCTCCCATTTGACTCTGGATTGCTTGATTCTCCCTCTTTCCTTCCATTGTCCTATTCATTCTCCCATTTCATCAACAGGTTTTGTATAGGGGCAACTATATGACAGGCAATGGGCCCAATTATGGAGAGAGAGAGAGATGACTAAAATATGAGCTTCCCCTGCTGAAAGGAGCTTGGAGTTGGGAGAGGTGCAGAAAATCGCATGATAGTAAGCCAGAGGCAGGAGTGATTTGCTGCCTGGAGAGCTGACTGTATCTTGTGCTGAGCCAAGCGGAGGCTTGAGAGTTGGAGGCAGTCCCATAGATCAATATATGTTTGTTTGTATGTGAATTTGTGAACATTCATTTAACACGTCTTTCCTAAATATCCATGCAAAGCATCATTCTGAATGCTCTACTGGGAGGTTTGGGGTAAGTATCCATCATGGATGTTCATTGGGAAGATGCAGACATTGTTTGATGGTTGAAGTACAGGCTGTGGCTTCAGAATGAGGAGGCCAGGGAGATTAGGGGTTAGGGTACAGTGCTAAGGGGCCTGGGTTTGGAAGTAAATTCTTTGCTGTTTCTTGTCAAGAGTGGGGACTAGCAGGTAATCTAAGGTATACTCAAAACTGTACCCTGGCTTTCTCCTCTTACCAAGCTCTAAGATGACCCTGCCTAGGTAGCTACATCCACCAGTTATCATTGTATTATCCCTCTCAGCCACTGCTTTTTCTGAATTCCCCAACTCGCTACATATATGCAGCATCCAGTTGTCCAGGCTGTATTGGATCATTGTAGGCAAGAGATAGAGATTTCATGTCACCGAAACCTGGTCTAATAGTTTGGACTACCTGGTGTGTATGTGGGGGGTGGGCGGGGGGCAGGTAGTGTTAAATTGACAGCTAACTAGAAATCCCCTGTCTGTCTTTCCCAGTCCCATCAGTTTCCTCTTCAGGTCCAAGTTTTCTCTCACCTGATCTCTCTCTGGTACCTTGCACCTGGACTGTAAAATTATTTAAGTGCCAGAACCGGCGCTTAATGTGGTTTTGCACACTGTAGATGGCCAGTAAATGTCTAATGAATGAGATGAGCCGCCTCAAAAATCTTGTTTTCTTCTGCTTTTAGAATAAAAGTCAGCCTCATTTCGCCTCGGAGATCTACTACATTGAACCACAGCCAATTTCCCTTGCCTTCCCCCCCACCTCCACCCCCATCCACTACCTTGAAGGCTAGTTTAGACAGTGATTCACAGTTTTTGCCTGGGGCCACTTGTATTCTCCCATCTCCATTCCAGGAAATCCTTTCCGTGGCTCCTTAAGCTAGGACTCATCTAAGTTTATAGGCTCTGAGAGGCATGGTGGTGGCAAGCTGCTGCTTTCCGCTAAGGCCTCCCGCCACCCCAATCAGCCCTTAGCAGGCACAGCTGGCCCTCCTCTGCCCCTGCTGGATAAGTCTTGAGGGAATGGTTGAACCCTAGAATTTCCCCGAAGTCTTAAGCCGCGCCTGTGGCAGACAGCCGATGAGTGGGTCCTCGTGCTGGACTGGACAGAGGACCGCGAATGAGACCATGCAGGCTGGACGTCAAGAAGGAGCTGGGTGCAAGCCAAGCCACAGTCATCAGCGGGGCAGGCTGAGAGATGCGAAGGAAGGGGTGGAGAGCTAGGGCTGGGTGTGCTTCCTGCCCGGGGATCTGGCGACCCGCCCCTACTCCCGCCCTGGCGGCCAGGCGGGTGCTGGACGGCCCCTCCTGCCTCGGCCAGCCGCCCAATCAGCAGGCGCCCCCCGCCCGGCCCGCCCCCTCCCCCTCTGGTGACAGAAAGTCGGCCCAGCAGATGAGGAAGTGGCCGGCAGGCGGCCCTGGGGACCTCTCTCCGGCCCTGATCCCTCCGAACCCTCTACTGCTGCCCGCCTGGCTCCCACTGGTGAGTGTGGACCTTCCATGGCCCCCCACGTGCCAGCGCCCCCTGCCTGGCTGGCTGGGCCAGCCCTGCCCTGCCCGCCCTGCCCTGCCCAGGCTGTGGGCGAGGCTGTTCTTGGGGCGAGTGGGTGGGAGGTCCCAGCTACTGGGGCTGGGCCAGCCCAGCATGCTCCCTCCCCCCGACACCTTGGCCCCTGACCCCCATTCGCTCTCACCTAGTTCTTTTCCAGCACCTCCTGGCCTTGCCCACTCGGCCCCCTCCTCTCCCTTCCTCTCCTTCCCTTTGCGGTGCCCTTTTTCATTCCCATCCATCTTAAAGGAACTGCCCCTGCCCGTGTCCCACTGCGGGGAGCACACCCGGGCTTCCCTCAAGCTTAGGGAGAGATCTTTCCCAGAAGTCTGACTCCCTCCTGCCCTCCAGGGTTCCTGTGTGCTACGGTGTATGTGGTGATGAGGGGGGAGTGAATTGGAGGAGGTGGTTGAGGAAGATAAGGCAAAGCTGGCAAGCTCACGTGTGTCAGAGAGGAACTGTGTGTGAGAGCACATGCCTAAGTGCTAGGCCCTACTCCAACATAAGCCACCAACAAGTGTGACTATGTGTGAAGAAATGACCAGTGTCGCTCCCCAGGAGCCCTGTGTGAAGGAGGGACTGTGAGTGAGGCAATGTTCCCTCCATGTTCCTCTCCATGTGTCCATGCCTGGGGAAGTGTGAGTGCCACTGTGGATTAATTCAGTCCCTGCCAGGTGTGAGATTTAGGAGCCCGGCATGTCATAGTCCAGTGGGGAGGCCTGTTTTGGTGGTGTGGTCAGCAAGAGACGCATGGGCTCCGTATGGAGGTGTGCTAGCCAGCCCTCGGTGTAGTGTCTGTGTCGGGGTGGTTGAGAACTGTGAGGCAAGTGTGTAGAAGTGTGAGGGTGCAGATGTGAATAGGAGCGTTGGAGCCCTGAGAAAGGCGTGATGGAGGGCACCTGGAGCACTTAGGCGGTTGGGCAATTGCCTGATGCCTCTGGGACAGAGCCCTAGGCTTTCCTGCGTCTAGGCTAAGTTTTTGTACCACTCTAAGCCTTCCTCTGACACTCCTGCCAGCTTTGAGGAGGAAGGGGCCTAGCCCATGAGGATCCCTCCCAGAGGAGGGAAAGATTCCTGAGACCTCCCCCACTCTCCCACCTCCTCACATACCACTGGTGTCCTTACCCCTCCCTGGAAGGGAAGGGTGATGCCCATTCTGAAGTAGGACAAACTGAGAATTCATGGCTGGTTTGGGAGAGAATGCTGGGTGTGGATTTTTAGTAATTCCTCTGGCCAAAGTCCTGGCTACAAGTTTCTGGAGTACCTACAACATTAGCTTATCTGGCTGGTCTAAGGTGGCCAGTCTGGGTCCTTACTTGGCTTTCTCAATTCCAGTGGGTCCTGCTCCTCTAGGCATTGACCTGTGGCCTGGACCCACCCTCCACCCCATGCCCAATGTAGCGGGGGCGGGCAGAGGGCGGGGCTGCTGCAAGATCTAGTCAGACAGGTGGAGCCGCCAGGGCAGGAGTCTCCAAGAGCCAGGCTCCCGGAGTGAAGAGAGAGAGGAGAGCTTGCCGGTGAGAAGAGGGGAGGAGAGAGACTGGAGGTGAGAGCACGGAAGGCAGAGGGACGCTGGGGAGACTTGCGCTTAGCAAGGGAGAAGTGGAACCCCAGGTCTGTTCAGGTACTGGGACAGAAAAGAAAAGCCCATGGAGGTGGGAGTCCTGGCAGGGGACAGAGGGGAGATGGGAGTCTTGGAAGAACCAGAAGGAGTTTACTTGGGAGAAGCGGGGAGGAAGAGAGGAGAGGCTGAGGGAGAATTGCTGGAGAGAAGAGTGACCTCTCATGGGGAAATGAGACTGCTTCCCAGGAAAGGTGAAGAGGTTCACTGGGAAGATGAGCTGTGCTGTGAGGATAAAGGATCCAGAAGGAGACCCACCCGGAATTCAGAGTTCTCTCGGAGAGGAAGGGAGGGAGGCCAGGAAGGCGCATTCAGGAGCAGAGAGGAGGAAGGGTGGGACGGCTCTCTCCAGGCAGCAGGATGCTCCATCCAGACTGCCTTCTTTACTCCGGGGATGTCCCCACCGGGATGTCCCCACCGGCCTCGTGCATGCTAGGAAAGGGCTCTGCCACAGAGCTCCATTGGCAGTCCTACCCTGGTAGCAGTGGGCATCAGCTGTTTGATTCTGTGTCTTGTCTCTGTGGGCCAAGTGTGGGATGCGGGCATGCAGTGATCCCTATCTGATGCCCACTCTCCATCCCTCCTCAGAGTCCTTAGCCAGGATGGAGGCTGTCGTGAACTTGTATCAGGAATTGATGAAGCGTGCAGGTAAGCTGCTGTCCATAGCCATGCCTGCCCACCTTCCCCGGGACCCCAGGGCTATGTCTTAATGAAGTCCTTATGAACTACTTCACCCTTTTGTGACCTGATCTCATGACTAGACCTAGAAAGGCATATTGAACCCTGTGACCCTAACCCCTTTGACCTTTTTACAGATCCCCGGATGCAGAACTACCCTCTAATGGGGTCCCCCTTGCTAATAACATCCATCCTTCTGACCTATGTGTACTTCGTCCTCTCACTTGGGCCTCGAATCATGGCTAATCGGAAGCCCTTCCAACTTCGTGGCTTCATGATTGTCTACAATTTCGCACTGGTGATACTCTCCCTCTACATTGTCTATGAGGTAGGCTGGAATGCCTAGGCTGTAGTTTGTCTTCAGGGTAAGGGGTAGGGCATGGGCCAGTGCATGGCATGTCTAGAGGTTCATTAAGGAAACGGGAGGGGTTGCTGGGGGAGGGGAACTTTGGTCTAATCCATACTTTTTCTTAGTTCCTAATGTCTGGTTGGCTCAGTACCTACACCTGGCGCTGTGACCCTGTAGACTTTTCCAATAGCCCCGAGGCACTTCGGGTAAGTAGAGCCTTAGGTAAATCCTAAGCAACCTAGATAAGGGAGCAGCCAGAGACCTGTGTGTGGGTATTAAGAGCGACCTAACTTCTTACAGATGGTTCGAGTGGCCTGGCTCTTCATGCTCTCCAAGGTTATTGAGCTGATGGACACAGTGAGTACTTGGAGACCCTACAACTTGGGGGTAGAAAGGCAGGCACTGGACTGGCAGGCCCTCAACCTTCCCTCCTCTCTTCTCTCAGGTGATATTTATTCTCCGCAAGAAAGATGGGCAGGTGACCTTCCTACATGTCTTCCATCACTCCGTGCTCCCCTGGAGCTGGTGGTGGGGGATAAAGATTGCTCCAGGTGAGCAGTCAAGGCCACTGGAGAGGCGGGTGGCCACTGGGAGTGGAGGCCCATCTCCTGACCCCGTTTTCTTTCCATCTTAGGAGGAATGGGCTCTTTCCATGCCATGATAAATTCCTCTGTACATGTTGTCATGTACCTGTACTACGGATTGTCTGCCCTTGGCCCTGTGGCTCAGCCCTACCTTTGGTGGAAAAAGCATATGACAGCCATTCAGCTGGTGAGGGGCCTGGTGGGCGGCCTGGTGGTCCTAAGACCAAACCCCCAATATTCCTCCGTTCAATTCTTTATCCAACCATCCTCACACCATCCTCCCCGAAAGCTTATGTGTGTCTCTTCTCCTCCCTCCCACCCTCTTTCTGACCCTTGTCTTTCTCTATCCAGATCCAGTTTGTCCTCGTCTCCCTGCACATCAGCCAGTACTACTTCATGCCCAGCTGCAACTACCAGTACCCTCTCATTATCCACCTCATCTGGATGTATGGCACCATCTTCTTCGTGCTCTTCTCCAATTTCTGGTATCACTCTTACACTAAGGGAAAGCGGCTGCCCCGTACAGTTCAGCAAAATGGAACTCCAGCTATCACCAAGGTCAAGGCCAACTGAGAAGCATGGCCTAGATATTGCCCACCTAAGTGCCTCAGGACTGCACCTTGGGCAGCATCCACAGTGTCCTCTCCACCTACACCTATGACCAGGGCTCATGTGGTCAGGACTGAAGAGGAGGACTGGTTCTCCCCTCCCCACAGCTGGTCTACAGGGACCACTGTTCCCATCCCTTCTCCCAGCCAGCTCCAGGGATGTGGCCTCACTGCTGTCTGCCACCAGAACTGGAGGCTGAAAGGGCTGGACACTTACTTCCCCCCTCCCTGCCTTAAACTTGGGAGAGGAACACTCAGGGCTGGCCCCCACCAGGGTCTTGTGGCCTTTCTCCTCACACTGAAGAGGTCAGCAATAATCTGTCACAATGGACTCAGGCTCCCTTTCTCACTCCACATTGAAGCATGAGCTTCTGGGCCAAAGGTCAGGATGGGCAGCAGGCCTGGCAATACAGGCTGTGTACTCGTTTGTGTCTTAATTAAAGTGACAGAGGAAACCACTGAGATTGTGTGTATGTGTAAATGGAGGGGGGGCACACAGCTTACAGAAGGGAGGGTGCAGGCACTAATTCTAGCTACTGAGGAAGGCTGCTGAAGCAGGAAGCTCACAAGTTCAATGTTAGCCTAGACCTGGTCTCAAAATAAAAATGCTCAGTGGTAAGGCTCTGGGATCAATCTCCAGTTCCACAACAAGAAAATGTGGCCAAAAGTTCCCACAAGACTTCTAGCTCTAACTAGAGTATGGGCAGCCCCTAGGAAGGACGCTTGGGACACAAGAAAGGAAGATACAACTTTATTAGAAAAATAAAAAAACAACAAAAAAACCAAAAGGGGTCTGTTTTCAACGGATGCCCTGGTGGATAAGGCTACTTTTAGCTATACTGGCTTTCTCCCTCTCCCGCCGCAGGGCAGGGTCCAACTCAAAGCAGCGCCACAGCCGCAAAGTCTCATCGGCTGCTGCTGATGCCACTGTGGCCCCATCTGGACTCATGGTAAGACTCAGGACCCGGGCTGTGTGACCTAGGGCAAGAGCAGTGCATTTGAGTATAGGCACATAGCCCTCTAATTTTGTTAGTCACCTTGAGATAAAATTTGAATACCATAAACTCACCTTCTTCACTAATTCAGTGGTTTACTGTATTTACAAGGCTGTGCATTGTTATAACTAGCACCACAGCACTCTAAGTCATACTTCCCATCCTCTCCAAAGCCTCTAGCAAACCACTAATTCTTTACTCTCTCCACATTCATCTATTCTCAACGTTTCACATAAATGAAATCATACACTGCAGCCTGGCTTCCCTTTGCTTTTCCTTTGCTACCTACCTTTGAGCTCAGCCACCTTGGCCATGGTTGGGTACTTCCAAATAACCAGCTGGTTCTGGGCAAAGCCATGGCCTGAGATAAGCTCCTTATAGTGGGGAGACCAGAGGATGGAACACACCTGTGGAAAAGAGTTGTCATGGGCATGACATACAGCCTGGGCTACTCAGAATCCAGTCCATTCTAGTATTAGCAACCCTATCAGGTGCTATAGATTCAAACAATGGTCACAGTCCTTATGAAGCCCCTTGAGACAAATATCTATTTATGGGAGATATTTGTTCCACCAGTAGGAAGTCCACAAGTTGCCCCAAAGTAACTCCAACTATCTGACATCAGAGCCCATGCCTGCACTGTAGGCTGAGTGCTCGGGAAATGGAGAGGGGAAGCTGGAGTGTTTACAGCAAGGCACAAAACCAAGCGAGACCTCAAATGTTCTAATGTATTTGGATCATATGTTTCAGGTTGTGGGAATCCCCACAGGTTTAGGGGCAGTAAGTACCACTCAGATTGTGAAATAAGACTGGAAGAGAGAATGCTTGGGAGCCTGGGCATGGTGGTGTACACTCAGAATCTCAGAACTTGGGATGCTGAAGCAGGAGGATTGCAAGTCTGAGGCCAGCCAGGGCAAAATTCTGTCTCAAAAAAAATAAAGATGATGAGACCCAGTGATGAGGGGACAGATGTGAAGATACTCCAAGATAAAACAATTCTCTTAAGGAACATGAAAGATTCTAGGGGACTTTCAGATTTCTAAGCAATTCTGAAGCAGTCCAAGAGGAACAACAATCATTTCAGGAAGGCAAGGTGAAGCGACAAGCTTCGTTTGGGACATACGGAGGAGGTGATGATACTTTAGAGGACCTATGGTGGAGAGAAGCCAAACTTGGAAGTGGAAACTCAAGAATGAAGGCTGAGTTAGAAGTCAGAAATGATCGGGTATTGAGTTGGAGTGGAATTGGTTTTTCAGTAAGCTCACACAGAAGAACACACCTGGAAACAGCTAGAGTATGTTAAAACATGAATCGCCACTAACAATCACAACAAAAACTACCTGGGAATGGGCGTCCACAGCACTCAGACAGGCCCCAGAGCAGACATTCCAAATTCGGATGTGTCGGTCACTGGTGCCGCCTCCTGTTGCCAGAATATTGGACTGCCAGGGACACCATGCAACAGCCTAGGTGGGATGGACAAAGGCTGGGTCAGGTCAGTGGACAGACAGTCGAGCTAGCCAAGAAGCTCTAAGTGTCACAGTTAAACACGGGCTAATGCCACCGTGTCACCTCCCTTCAGTGTCACCTCCCTTCAACAGTCCCCAGTTTACAGCTGAGGGTCTGCAGACCTCAGCCCAAGTGCTTTCTCACCTTGACAGCACCTTGGTGTTGAGTGAATGTCTGTAAGGGAGCCCAGCCACTTTCTCCAGGACTACTAGGCCACACGTTGACCACGTTATCGTTGCCACCGCTTGCCAGATGACGTCCATCTGGGGCCCAGCGCAGCCCACATACTTCCTGGCTATGGCCACTCAGTGTGGCCACATGGTGTTCTGCTACCCGTACATCATGATGGTGGATGTGGCCAGAGCGTGAACCACTGAGAGAAGAAAAGAGATTTAGTTCTGAGGCAGCACAAAACCAAGTCAGAGGCACTTCAGTTCTGGATGTGCCCTCAATGGCAAGAGGCAAGCAGAAACCAAACTGCTACAGCCTAGCAAAGACCACTGACCTGGACAGAATATAGCTGTTCCAACTTAGGGAGCTTACTCGAGCGTTGTGACTGGTCATGTTCCGAAGCCGTTTCTGCTGCTGCACATCCCAGAGCTGGAGAGGCGAGACCAGAGGATCAGAGTGGAGCTGGGCTGGCTCCTCCCTGGGGCTGAGGACAACAGGGCCACCCGTCTGACCTGCACTTCAGCGTTACTGGTGCCCACAGCCAGGTAGTTGCCCTCCTTGATCCAGGCCACGGAGGATATGTAGTCCCCAGGCTGCTCCATTTGCAACAGCTGCAGGATGTCACCAGAACCAGCATTCCATAAGTACACACTGTTGTCCAGTGCCACAGCCAGTACATTTCCAGAGCTCCAATCCACAAGGTTCAGGTCTGCCGGAGGCAGGAAGAAAAGAACACCAGGTCCTTTGTTAGACTGGTCCATCCATGCCCAGGCTATCTTTCTCCATCCGCAAAGACAATGATACACTTACAGTAGTCATTTCGGATCTCGGGGGCATCAAGTATCCTGTCTGGCAGGGAAGGGATGTATCGGCAAGTCTTCCGGCTGGAGCCAGGCGTGGCTTTCTGGCTGTAGAGTACTTTCAGTCTGTTCTGGTAGCCTGTGGCAACAGAGTAGGTCAAGGCCTTGAAAGTGATACCACCCTTGCCCTCGACTTTGCGCGGGGAAAGCAGGCACATGCCTCCTTTAGGAGGGACTGACACCAACCTTCTGGGGCATTCTGAGGTTTTCCACTGAGCCTGAGGATCTTGGCTTCCTCCACATCAAAACCGTTCAGGTTCAGAGCCCAGGCTTTCTGATGCTCCTGGCACAGAGAGGTGGCCGTGAGGCATAAGTGGTATCATCCAAGGGACACACAAGGTCTCAGGCATCGTGACCCCCGTGGAATCATACCTTCTTGGTGGGCGTCTCCCCGTCTTCCGGCTGGTTCTCCTTGCTCAAGAGGAAGCTAGCCACCTCCATTTGGGAAGCACTGCGGTGTGGGATATAGCGGTCACCTCCAGGTTTGCTAGGGGTGGTCTGACCCTTGGAATTAGACTTGCCTGGGGCAGGGAGAGAGAAGACAGTCTGTCGAGGCTCCTGGAGGGGGCTCGAAGGCCGACTCTCGGAGATTCTATTTCCCTCCCCGGACCCCCAACTCACCAGGAGTTCGGCCCGGGGTCCGGCCGGCGCTGTGAGATCTGTTGGCAGCCCGCATGGGCGAGGGGGCCGGGCCCGTGGCTTCCTTGGCTTTGCGCTGCCAGCGCGCAATGGGTGCATTGGGGATGGGCGTGTCCAGCTGAAGCAGAGCGTGCAAGTCGCTCTCGAACACGAACTGCGCCATGGCAGTGTCTGCAGGGGCGAGAGGCGACCAAGTTCGGGACCGTGCCGGGCTCCTGGGCTCCTCCGGCCACAGCTCCCACCAGCCCGGCACCTCCCCCGTACGCGGCCTTCCCAGGCACAGACCCCCGGCTCCTCACAGTTCGTCCGTGCGTCCTCCGAACGCGTTCCTGCCCGGACCAGCTAAAGGCACGCCGGGCTGTTGTTCTTAAACTCTCCGCTGCGAGCACTCATTGGCTCCTTCAAAACCCAACCGTCTTAACCGTCGCCCTCGCCCATTGGTCGCCACACTGGAAAGGGGCGAGTCTTCCGGGAGCAAGTCTCAGATCTCACGAGAGTGTGGCGGCCCCGGCGTTTCGAGTGGAATTCCGAACCCACCTCCGGGAGCCCTCCCGAGTCCCAGCCCGAATCGGAGCGCGGGGCGGAGTCTGCACCGCCGGTCAGCCCGCCCTGAGCATCCGCTCCCTGGGTGACGCCCCTCCGGGTGGGATGGAGCGGTTGGGGGGAATCTGAGAGCCTGAGAAAGGTCACACGGAAGCCTGTGTGTGCGTGGAGCTTAGGTTAGATACACAAGGGTAAACTCGAACCCGGGGACCCGGGGACTTTGGGCAGGCAGCAGCCTGAGTGAGGAGAGCGGGAGCTTGCTGGCGTGCAGTCCGTTAGCCAGAAACCCTGCTAGGAAGGAAGGATGCGTGTGTGTGGTGCTTAACTGAGGCTGACGAGGGGAAGTGGGGGGTCAAAAAAAGGATCAGGATTCCTGCCTTTCTGTCCTTGAAGATGTTAGGCTGCTCTTGGGGACAGCCTATGATTGACTCTCTTGAGGCTTTAGATTCTTGAGAATCCTAGAGATTCTGTCTTACCTGAGTGACATGCAACCTGCCAGTGAGCAGCAACCATTTTGCTTGTTTGAGACGAGGGTCTCACCATGCAATCCGGGTCTGGAACTCAAGTCTGCTGGGATTTAAGGCGTGTGCCGCCACACCCGGCCCAGAACCAGGTTATGTTGAAGTAAAAACTAAAGCCCAAATGCAAGGAATTTGACCAAGGTCGTAAAAAGAAGTTGGTAAGAATCCAGGTCTGGGACCTGGAGAGATGATTTAGAGGTTAAGAGCTGCTTGCTGCTCTTCTTCCATAGGACCAGAATTTGGTTTGTCAGGCAGACACACAACTACCTGTAACTCCAGCTCCAGAGCGGAGCATCAGATTCACTCCACTGGAAGCCAGCAGAACAGGTGGCATACACTCAGGCAGACACAGATATTCAGACACACACACACAAATAAAATCTTTTAAGGGGAGTGGGGAGGCCCTCGCTGACTATGGGATGCTGGAGGTCAGTCTGCTGGGCCTTATTCCTCACTGTGGAGAAAATGTGCCTATGGCGCCCTGCCCCCACCACTGCTGCCGACCCATGGCTTGGGTTGGTTCCCCTGTGGCTGCACCCCGACTCACAAGCCCCTTTTCCCCTGTTCTCATTCAGCCTTGGGATCATTTCCCCTGTCACTCTTCTTTGCCTTCTCAGGAGACAGCTTAAGAAATAATTATTTCTATATAAGTCATTCAGGATTATAATCTGACTGTACTCAAAGATCAGAACTACAGCTACAGG